CTGTGCTGTAATTCCTCGTATAGCACATTGGAAAACTTGTATATATGGTAGTTACATGGTTTGTTAAATATTTTCTGTCATCCTAATCACTAGTTTCCCTGCTCGTTTTAAATATCTTGATTGGAATGAAACAGTGAATTCACACAGCTGTTAAAAGACCTGGACTCCGGCACACCTAACTAGAGCGTACCATGCTGTTTTGGCTATAACCCCCGACATTTTACAACTAATTGTTTTGTTGTTGTTTTCTTGTTGGCTGCCAACAGAGGCCAGACCAGGAGGGCAGTTAAGGCCATCCACATGCGCAAGGCAGAAATCTGTCTTCTTCTGACATCTTTCCCAAGTCAAATTCTTGGAGGATTTTCTGTTTGCATTATAGGAAATCCAGATCACAGACTTGTAAAACTGAAAGCATCACCGCTGAGCTCCAACTCAGTCAGCCCATTTTATAACCAGGACGCCGAAGTTTGTTTACAGAGGTCGAATCGTTCCCACTGCCCTTTCTCCTACCCTTTTCCTCCAGGTCTCTCCCAGAGAATGTGTGGGCTCAAGAACAGAGAAAAGAAGGTGCCAAAAGTAGAAATGGGTGGTGGTCCCTCAGTGTGGTCCCTGCACATCATGGTGACTGGGGTGCTTGCTAAAGTGAAGATTACTGGGCCTCGTCCCTCTCTGGCCAAACACCTGCAGGATCGACCTTTTAAACTAGTTTGCCCAAGTCGACCCTCGCCCTTAATGGACGTTCCCTGCTCTGGAAACAAGACAAACACAGAGAGCGTGCCTGCTGATTTGGTGGCTTCCAACACCTTGTGTGTCACTTCTGCGAAATCTTGAGATGTTATACTTTATCTTGTTTACAATTCCTGAAATTCCAACATTTAGAAATTCACTCAGGCTTATATTTCCTCAGTGTTTAGCAATAAATAAAAATAGCTCCCTGAAGTCAGCGTTTATACAGTAATTCCCGCAAGCGAGTGAATTCAACAGACGAATTTTCCCCTCCTCATCCCTGGCGTGGGGGAGCCGTCCTGAGGAGGTGGGAGCTTGGATGAGAGGGACAGGGAGGTGGGTAACTCTGGACACGGGAGACGAAGGCAGGCTGACAGGACTCCAGGACGCGGGGGTGCCCGAGGAGAGAGGGTGGTTCAGTGGGGGAACAGGGACATCACTAAAGCAATTATACTCATTTTTCAAAAATTCCCTTAAGTCCCTGCCCGCCACATAATCAAGTTCTAAAAGGGAGCTGTTGTGTATCCTCAAAGGAAAAGGAAATTTCCTCCTTCTCCTTCCACTAGCACCGTCTAGGCCTCCAGCAGGGGGGACTCTATCACAAATGTTGTTCTCTATTATGTGTTTCAGGTCAAGTTTTGGGCCTTGGTCTCTAACCTGCCCCCTCCTCCAACTTCAATGGAGATTTCCCCAGGAGGGAGCTGCACTCTAAGCTCCCGTCCCTATTCAGGTTAGTCAAGCCCGTTTTCACAAAGCAGGATGGGAGGGAGGGGCCGCTGTGGGCTGGGAGGAACCAAGCCAATTTGACCTCGTTTATAAATAAAAATATCACTTAAAAGTATCCTCTGTGGCAACTTCAGATGAGCAGCATAAATTGAAAAACAACCTGTGATCCCCGCCCCCGCCCGCCAGCTAACATCAGTATTCATGATAATTATCTATATAAGTGGGAAGTACTTACATAATAAGATACAAGTTTATTTATTTATTATACCAGGTACTTCCACTTCTGTTGCTGTTTACAGACAAGCATTTTAAGACAGCGTTGTTTTTTTCCCCCCCAAAAAATAAGTTGAGAAAGTTATATTTTTCTTTCAAATTTGCCATGCTTGAAAGCACTCCACATTTCTGACACAATGTACATTTGAATGTAAACTCTGGCCCAGCCAGTTTAAAGATTACGTTTTTTCCCTCATATAAAATAAGTCTTTACCCTTTATACCCCTACTTCCCATCCCCAATTTTTTCATTCCGAACTGACCTGCAGTTTCTCTTAAAAATGCCAGGCTTATTTACCTGTTATGTTCTAAAAAAACTGGGATTTAAAAAGAAATCCATTCACAACAAACAGCACACCCTGGAGGTATGCTGCTGAGTCCCACTCCGAGGGTGCCCGGTGGTTCAGCTGTTGAGCTCTGTGATCTCGTCAGTCTCGTCCGGATTTTTGGTCATTTTTTCATATTTTCTTTTGAAGAAGCCAAGCTGTGAAGGTGAGGACGTAAAACCGTTACCATCCACGGCTTATTTGGTATGTTGCCCTTGACCCCTGGGCTGCCCACTTCCTCTGGGGACCCCCTGGAAATCCCCGAGGCCCTGGAGAATATGGTAGGCGGACTGCAACCTGCTATCTGCCCTCACTTTAGTGAGGAAATTGATATCCAGAGAGTTCTGCTGAATTACTCTGAGTCTACTTCTCTGAAGCTGAACAAAATATTCAGGGCTCTGGGTGAAAGGAAGGTTAAAAGAAGATATACTTTTACTGGGTGTTTTACAAGAGTGAAAAACTGTAAACCATTTTACATTTCTTTTTTCTCATTATAGAGGAGGTTCCATATACAACCTAAGGTTACTGTTTTGGGAGCAAATTTAAGACAGAGGCCTTCAGAAGTCCTGCGTTTTAAAGTATGAAACTTTCCTTACCTTCCATAAAACCACAACCAGCGCTAACAGCAGAAGGATCCCCGCAATCACACTTCCTACTATAACTCCTGTTGGTACCTCTGCTTTCTCACCGGGTTTCGTTATCCTCAAGGGAATCTGTGAATGTATGTTCACAACTGAGTTACTAATTTGAGCACCAAACAAGATGGATGGTCTCATAGAGTTGTCTGAGTTGATGAATGAAGGTCCCTGGTTCTGGAACAGTGGCATGATTGGCTCATGACGGCACTCCCCAAACATTGTACATTCCTCCAATGGTGAACAATTTTTAGAGAAAATGCTCCTGTGAAGTCCAGGTTTAAAAAAACCCCAATTTTTCTAGTTTCCTCCTTTAACTACATCAGCATTTTGTAGCTGTGTTGTGTCCCATCATTCTTTAATTATTTATGAGATAGGAGCTTCAGTTTCTGGCAAGCATTCCCAGCAAGTGGAAGGATCCTTGAGTGAAAGCAAACAGCCTTAGGCCAGTCAAAGAACAAATTAACTCACATGCATCCTGACTGAACAACTTTGTATGGCATTTCCAAAATACAGATTTCACTTAAATGTTATTCAAGATAGACATCAATATGTAGAGGTAGTATCTTAGGCCACTGCCTCTTTCACCAAGCCTGTAGGAGGCAGCAGATCCTGTCTTAGGGCACAGGTTGACCTTTTTGGGGGTGAAGTTGTCTTTGAGGCTGTTAAGGATTCTTTTGTCCACTTCCTGACACTCTTTGTGATGCTGTAATGGCCCCAAGAGAAGGGCTGACCTGAGTTTTAGCAGTAAAAATGTATGATCTTTTCTTTAATTGAGGAAAGAGTCTCACTTATTTATTTTCTTCACAAAACATTCTTTTTTTCCCCATAAAACATTCTTAAAGAGTTATATTTTGAAGCAAAAGAAGAGAACAATACATGGTTTAACATTAAATTGCAGTGGCAGATGAACTGCTTTTTGTTACACTTATGGGCTGGGCTGACCTTGGAGCTGACCTTAGTGACTATGTTTATTCTCATTTGTATCTTCAAGAGCTAAAATAGGCTTTTTAAATTGATGGACAAAGTGACGATGAAGTCATGCCTGCTTTCTCTGTTCCACAGCTTCCTTATCTGGGCCCCAGGGACCCCATGAGTGTAACATTTTGTGGATCAGATTTTTAAGTGGTCCAGAGATTTAAATAAATGTAGCAATTGCTTATCTACCTATACGAATGTGTCATGTTATTATTTATATTCAAAACTTTACTCAAAAATACATCCAAATTGGTTGGATGCAAAAAATGTTTCCATAGACACAAGTACTAGTTGGCTTCTGTTATTTATTAGTATTGGTTAGAGAAAACAAAAGTCTAACGGGTTCCTTAAAATTGTTCATTTGAATTTCCAATTAATGTATTTAATGCTGCTTTCTAAAAAAACCAAAACTTCAGTCGTGTTTCACCTATTGTCTGAAGGCTACATTTTTCTAATGTGAGCTTTAAAAAAAAAAAATCTATAATACTTTTCCCCTAGGCTATGTTCATAGCACTTTGAATTTGAAGTTCACATTTCCTTTGGCTCCAATGCTGATTTTCCAGGCCCGGTCCTCTGAGGAGAGGGTGTGGGCTTTCTCTGAGGCCCTAACACCAGAGGCGGAGAATTATCCTCTATTGTGTGGAATCATTTACCCCAGGCAGAAATAGGGCAGCAGTGCATGAGCTCTATTCTCAGGCCGGAGTGAGGGAAGCCCAGAGTTCACGGGGCCATTGCCTCTTTCACTAAGTCTGTAGGATGCAGCAAGGGACTGAGGCCAACTGCCAAGCTGGCCCCGGGGGCAGAGTCCTGAACTGCCTTCCAACTTCTAATACAAGCACTGGGAGGAAAATGCTCAGGGCTCTGCCAGCAGATTAGCTGGGCATGGAAATCCCGCTGTATCTAAATATGGCATATTCTAACCAGAGTTTCAGTGCAAAGGAAAAGTGTCTTGTGCCAGCTCTTGGAACAGAGAGCCTTTGTTTTCTCTGAAAGTACATTTCTTTGCAAAAGCTTTTTTATCTAAGGGGAA